AAGAGGGACAAATGGTACAAAAAGTTTTGCAGATCAAATAATGATAATCATTGGAATAGGTACACAATCGCGCGTAATAAATATTCACAATCGATAAAACAAACTCGTTGTGAATATGTCCAGAGGAAGATTGATCAGCATCAAAACAACAGCAAAGAGTTATGGAAAATTTTGAAATCTTTATTAAAACCTAGTAATTGCAAACCGCGGTCCATAACTTTTAATGGCACATTAGAACAGTCAGAACCAGTAATTGCATCTATGTTTAATGATTATTTTGTCGAAAGTGTTTCATTGATTAATCAATCCATTGAATTGGTCGATGAACCTGACGAAATAAAACAGCCAGTTAATAGTAGTTGTAGATTTGAAGGTTTTCACCAAATTACTTTAGATGAACTTAGAGTTATTTGCTTTTCATTAGGAAAATCGGCTGGAGTAGATAATGTTAATTCTAGAGTTATTCAAGATTGCTTTCATGTCATTGGCCACATCTTGCTGGACCTTATTAATGAATCTTTGCAGACTGGACATGTGCCACAAATTTGGAAGGAATCCTTAGTGGTTCCTATTCAAAAAGTTGCTGGAACGATTAAAGCCGAAGAGTTTCGTCCCATCAACATGTTGCACACATTAGAGAAAATTTTAGAACTTGTTGTTAAAGGCCAGCTGTTGGAGTATTTGAATAGCAACTCTTTGTTGATACCAGAACAATCAGGATATCGGGAAGGTCATTCCTGTGAAACTGCGTTGAATTTGGTGTTAGCAAAGTGGAAAGACAACTTGGAGCGTAAAGATACGACTGTTGCTGTTTTTTTGGTTCTGAAACGCGCTTTTGAAACAATTTCTAGGCCCTTACTGTTAAGTACAATCAAGCGCTTTGGAATTACGAGTACTGCTTATAAATGGTTTGAAAGCTATTTATCTGACAGAACTCAACGGACTGTTTTTAATGATTCTGTTTCCAGTCCCGTGGGGAATAACCTTGGAGTGCCCCAGGGAAGTGTATTAGGGCCTCTTTTATTTATTATGTATATTAATGATTTGCGACGCGTTTTACGATTTTGCGACATTAATCTTTTTGCAGATGATACTGTGTTATTCATTGCAGCTAAGGATTTAGAAGTTGCCGTCTCACATTTGAATGAAGATTTGCGTTCTCTAAGTAGATGGTTGAAGTGTAAGCAGTTGAAATTAAATACAAGTAAAACTAAATTCATGGTAATTTCGCGGAACCGAGTAAATGATAATGTCTCCGTGGTAATTGATGATGAGGCTATTGATCGCGTTCGGGAGATTAAATATCTTGGCGTGATTATTGATGACAAACTTAAGTTCAACTCTCACATTGACAATGTCATCAAGAAAATTGCCAAGAAGTATGGAATTCTATGTCGACTGAAAAACGATTTAACTATTGCCAGTAAAATACAGCTATACAAATCAATCATCTCTAATCATCTAGACTTTTGCCCATCCATTTTATTTCTAGCCAATGAAACACAAATATCGAGATTACAGCGTCGCTTTAAAATGGCTGTCAGTGAAGCAAAGAATAGTTTATTTGACTATGGTGTTCATTTTTAAAGTAGTAAATGGTTTGCTGCCTCGATATTTGTGTGATCGAATTGAAAGAGGAAGTGATTTTCATAGATATAATACTAGAAACGCGGATGAAATAAGAACACCACATTTCTTGACTTGCGCTTCACAGAATTCATTGTATTTTAAAGGAGTAAATGTTTTCAATTCGATGCCTAGACATATTAAACGTGCAACAACATTAGCAGAATTCAAGAGACATTGTATTTCACACGTTAAAACTGTCTTTTGAACAGTTATCCAGTGATTTTTTTTTTTTTTTTTTATGAATGGACGAAGTATGTACACAGCAAAAAAAAATGTAATATCGATCGATGTAATTCAAGCTGATGCATGAAATAATGATGTAATAGCAAAAAGCAGATACAATATTACATCAAAGGATGTAATTTTGTTCGCAAAATCGATGTACATCGTACAACGTTATATTACACAACCGATGGATTGACCTGGTTGCAGCAGTTTGGATGTAATATTCAACAACTTTTTTTTCTGTGTATCTTGACGAAGTTATTTATAACGGATTATTTTGTATGGATAGCTGCCATAACGACTTTTTAATAATTATTGTAGCACTGCAAAAACTATTTTGTTCGCCACGATGGTGATGATGGATTTTTTTTTTATATTTGAATTAAAGTAGTAGTTAAAAAAAAAAAAAGTAGTAGTCTACAAAGGTTTGAGCCTCGCACGCGTATTACGGATATAGAGGACTGAATTTAACATTTGATAAAAAAAAAATGCAACTTTGAAGCTTATTTGGAAGATACTTTGAGTTAGTATTAAGTTTTCTGGCTGAATGTCGGGGGTTCGTGAGCATTCCTGACATTGCTGAAAATTATAATAGCATCATTGCGGGGTTGCTAGTGTATAGGATGCTTTGTTGATTGTTCATTAACTCTTGATTGCTTGTAATACTTATGAATATTCTAGGTGGACAAAAAGGCGAACTAAGAGGTGGACGCCTAAGCTTTTTCACATTTATGTATATTGCTGTGAAGCAACTGTAAAGTCTAGAGGGAATTTATATCTGTAACTGTAACCAGCTCGTTTTTGTTTGCTAACCTGGTTAAAATGTTTATATTTAATTATCTTAAAGATAAATCGTCCAGCTCAAACCTTTGTAGGGGTAAGAGGTGGGACCATCATCATCAAGAAGAGGCACGCAGCGGGCAAGGTGGATCGACCAAGTAGAAGGCATCTTGCGGACCCTTCGCAGACTACGAGACTGACGAAGTAAAGCCATGGATCGAGTAGAGTGGAGACGACTTCTTCGGACAGCACGACAGGACGACTTCTCACGTTTCATTCGTTGTTGTAGTATTTCGTTGTTTGGTTTTACTCCAAGGACTGAGTTTGCCGGGGTGACGCTTAAGCCATTTGTTTAGAAACCAAGCTACGGAACGCCCTAGTAGACCGATTTTGGCTACACACTTAATCAAGCTCGGTAAAATCTCCAACAGCCGATTACCTCGGCATTTACTTTTGCTGATATCTCTGCAAAATATCTCTTTGTTAGCTGATATCTCAGCAAAATGTTATTTGTTAGCTGAGTCTCGGCAATTGTTTTACTGAATCTCAGCAAAATAAATTGCAGAATTACTCGGCTGTTGGAATCTCGGCGAAAAAATTTAAGTGTGTAGCTGACTTTTGGCGGCTACAAGCTAAGGGAAGCAATTTTCTGACATTTGTGAGAAAATTGATCATCGCAGTTACGCCTTTATGCATGCTCACTAGACTGATGCAAGTTTTGACATTTTCGGTCCACAATGCTCAAACGGTTCCAAATGGGGTCCTGATTAGTCTCCCAAAATTTGAACTCATTTGAAAAGAAACTGACTTGGCACAAACCATTTGAAGTTTATATGAAAATTACTATAGGAAAACCAAATATTTTGTTCATATCCATCTAACAATTAACCATATCGCTCTGCTTTAAAGAATGATAACTGAGCTCGTAGAAAATTTTCTCAGCTACAACTTTGTCCTGAACCACTTTCCAATATAATGTAAGCATAACAAGTTATAAATAATTCAAGTCACTAATGTCTTACGATTATGCTCAGTCAACTGTTCAGCAGGCAACATTGGTGTTTCTGGCGCTTGGAATAGAGCACAAAATCATGGCTACTATGTCACACTGCAAGATACAGTGTTGCTCACAAAACAGCTGCTTGATCATGCCATAAGATTATCAATCTCTTAAACAATTAATAACTATTTTATTTGACGTTTGGCTCAATAACTATATTCTGCTAAGTTGAAGCTGAGAAAATTTTCCAGAAGTATAGCTTTTGAATTTTTGAACAGTGCCATATGGAAAAAGGTAAGAAGACAATGAACAAAAAGTTTGGATTTCCCATAGTAATTTCCATATAAACTTCAAATGGTTTGTGCCAAGTCAGTTTCTTTTCAAATGAGTTCAAATTTTAAGAGATTAATCAGGACACGATTTGGAACCGTTTGAGCACTGTGGAGCGAAAATGTCAAAATTTGCATCAGTCTAATGCTCACTGTCGAATTATGCAAAGTTTCATGCCAATCGGAGAAGGTCGTATCAGATTGATTCGCCCTTTGGCGTGGAACTGCTCTAAAAGATCCCTGTAATTATTTCGTAAGGCTTCGGATGTCTGAACCAACCAAACACATAGGAATCTGTGAATTTGATTAGTAACTTTTAAATAAGGTCTTACTTTGGAGTTGATTTATAAGTCGTCTAATATTTGCACATAAGTCCACTAAAGTGGACCTAAGCGACATTTTAGGCTCCAACTATATCTAGGACTTTAAGGTCAGTTATCCTCAACCCGTTAAGTCTCAAGATGTGACATATATGTACTGTGAAGTTGCCTCATAAGTACTCTGAAGACACCTGAAGTTGACCGATAAAGTGCCCTAATAAATTTTGTAGTGTTATTTTGCTTAACGAAGTATTTGGGGTATCTTCCAAACCATTTGTGGATAAGCTCTATAATTTGGATTATCGTTCGTTAATGGTATTTTTTATTAGGATGGGCTTAACTTGTTAGGTTAGATCCGGGAGGCCTACGAGCAACTAACAATGCTGGAGTGACGGTGTCAATGGTTAAATGATAACTGGGTTTTAAATTCCATCCCAATCGAGGTCGTTGGGATTTTCCGAAGCAAACAATCTATGGTCACATCTTTTGAAAGTTATCTATGTGTTCGTTCCTGAGTTTTCCAGAGAGACTTTCGAGAGCTTGTAGCTTTCTAAGGCTGGTTGATTGTAACTCAGAATACTGCTGGGCTAGGTTTGCACGACTTCCATATTAGAGTTTCAGTAAACTAACGGTCTTAATGTAGCACTAGTACTGATCACCAACTGAATCCACTCATCAAAATAACCTCTTCCACTTGACTCTCATCTCTCCACACAGGCGACGGTTTGGGCAAAAATTCGGACGGCATTGTAAAACCCATCAAGGCCAGCTTAAAGTTCAACAGCTCCGGACTCGGATCGGACCAGGCGAAGGATCTGACCAATAACTGGTGGGACCGGGTTTTCAACGAGGCGACCAACAACCTGGAAGTGGGACCATCGGGAAAAATCACCCAGAAGGACAAGGATGGGGTCGAGATTTCCGACAAGAGCTATTCGGTTAGAAAGCTGAAACAGCAGACTGCCGATGGGAAGGCCAACTACGGAGGATTTCTCAAGGCTTCGAAACTGCTGACCAACGTCGGTCGTGAGGAGGACATCGCAGGACACGTCAAGACGGAGGACATAGAATTCAAGGCGCCCAAGATGCTGACGGATGAGGAACTGTTTGCGGCTTGCGGAGGTCGAACGGCCCACAAGGGAGCTCGCCATGGACTGAACCTGACCGGAAAACTAGCCCGCATCGAAGCGCAGAACAGCAAGCTGCTGCAGGAGCTGGAATCCAAATCGTTCGAGACGGTCATCAAAAGCAACGAATGGCAGCAGGTGCAGAAGCGAAAGAAATCCAAAAAGAAAAAGCGAAACAAGGAACTTTGGAACGCGAAACACCAGGAGGAGGAAGAGGATGAGCTGAAAGATATGATTCACCATGCCAACTACGTTGTGAAGAAGAACAAGAAGCAGGCGAAAGCGGAACAGCGCATGGTGGATGACCTGGTGGACGAATCGATGGGATTGTTTACTACACTGCCGGAGGAGGACGGCCACGAACCGGAGCCGGGTCCAAGCATCGAGGACGAACTGGATGTGCTGAGCGAGAAGATTCGCAAGCTGGACCACAATTCGGTTACCATCAAAAAGAAAGACAAGAAAAAGAAGAAGAAAAAGCAGAGAGCGGCCGCTCAGGAAGACGAGGAGGAGGAAGAGGAAGAGGACCATTCGATGGATCCGACGGCAAAGTATAAGAAGAAATACAAAAAGCAACAGAAGGTGAACAATGAACTGCTGCGACAAGCGGTGAGCCAAGAAGTGGAACCGGAAAAGCCCAAGAAACCGAAGAAACTGCTCAAATCCGACAGCGAGGCGTCAGATAGCGAAGGCGACGAGCACAAGGACGTCGTCGAGCGGATCAATGAGGACCGGGAGAAGATGCAGTCGAAGATTCCGAAGATCAAGGTTAGTGAGCTGACGGAGGAGGACCAGCAGACGGCGGCCGAGAAGTTCAAGGACCGCCATAAGAACGGAGTCAAACGAGTGGGGCGCCACAAGACCAAGAGAAAGAAGACCAAGAAGAGGCACCGGCAGTTGGCGCAGCTGGCCGATGATTTGGAGAAGAATTTGTAGGAGGTGGGTCTTCCAGGAAGAAGCGTGAAGCAAATACGCAAAGCAATTGTAAAGGAGCCTTTTTGTCTGCCGAAAAGGTCTCAAGATCTTTGTTTATGGATTTTTATTCGATCGTTCGTATAAAGTACGCTTTTGCTATATCTAGGTTTTAATGCGTTCAATAAATATTTGGTATTGAAACTCTTTGAATCATAATGGGGAACGTGTGTCAATGTTTACCAATATCACAAGCCAAGAGGGTGCTACCAAGGTGACTATATATAGGTGTTCTAATGTGTCAAATTCATGATTCAGCCATGTTGGATTTTTGTATGGGACAGCGACCGAGTTTGTTTACAATTTGCTCTAAAACCGCACTTTTCCCCCCCGCGACCTCCTCGCCTATATAGTGACAATTATTATTATTATTTAGCTTTATTTAGGAGGCTTTCAGCCTTAGGCTGGTTCGCCTCCAACACTATATAGTGACAAAGCTGTATCACCATCTATATACCCACCATGGGTGCTACGATGGCTGGCATTAAAAACAAGCGCTTCACATGCCGGCTGGGGGCTGTTCGGTACGTTTCAGTCATAGAAAGCAGTTCAACCTTTCAGTCGTAATGTTTTCATCTAATTAGTACAGTGTTTATAGATCAAATCGAACAAATTACACTATAGTTGAGTAATTAGTTTGTTGCTAAATATTTCAATTAGCTTGATGTCTCATCATTTGATCGATTCGCTTGTTGCACGTGGGTTTAGTTTCTAAATAGAACCATTTGCTGATAAACGACTTCAATATTGCACTATTTGGAGTCGTCGCTCTATGCCAGTAAGATTTATTCGTGAGGATCCTAACAATTATTTTATCTATCTGTCTTCTTAGCATTTAGAACCGTCGGAATTGGAAGCGTTTCGCAAGAAATAAGACAAAGAGAAACGTCGTCAGTAGGATAAAATATAGAAATCGAGCAGTTTCAGTAGACAAACTAAAAAATAAAGCGTTGGTTGGAAATGCTATCTAACATGAAGCTTTAGTGCATCGAATTATTGGCCCTTCGCTCATTTTCAACTTCTATTCAATGTTCATATTGCCGTACTGTAGCGGAACTATCTACCTATCCTCTAACTAATAAATTATCGCACTAAAGCTTCATGTTAGATAGCATTCCCAACCAACTCTGAAAATCGTAAACTTCATGTATGAATGTAAAAAAACTAAACATGAAGGAATGTTAGTCCTCGTATCGTCGATAAATGCGATCTTTGATTTGATGAATGATGGGAGGGGTGGGCGGTCAAAAATAGAATCTAGTACAAAACAAAAATCGTCCGAATGCTTTGAGCTTATCTGCCTAGTCCGCAGGGGCGTGCCACTTCCGACTAAATCAGTTGCACGTAATTGGCAGGGAACAACCCGTACTGATTGTTGCACAATCCTCTCCACCAACCCTCATCAATCTAGAAAAGTACAGTGGGCGTTCGATTGATCAACTTGGAATTATTGTAGGAAAAAGCGCAATCGGTCAGTACTTACCATTTCAATGTGAGTGATTCGATCGTCCGGATCGAAGGAAATTTCATCGTCGGCCGCGGCTTGATAATCGTACAGGGCAATGGCCTGTACGCCGGGATTGTCCGCCGACAGGATGAACTCTTCCGGTTCTTCCTGCTCGGCAGCAGCGGTGACCAACTCCGACTGTGGCTGCTCGAATACAACAGCAGCAGCCTTCGGAACCGGTTGTTCAACGACGGGTTCCGGTTGTGGTTCAGGTTCCGGATCCACTGGTTCCACCGGAACTGGTTGATTTCGGACAACCGGCAGGTGGGTTGGGGTGGGTTCCTCTTCCACAACTGCTGCCGGTGATGGTGATGGTGGCAGTTGTTCCACTACTCGCTGGGGTTGGACAGCATTTGTCGGGATGACGTCCGGTTGAACAACAGGACGAGATACCACTTTGGGCAGCAGAATGGGTTCCTTCTATTGGATAGAAAATGGTTTTCAAAAGAATAATTAGATTCGATCAGTCTAAGTCTAAGCAGTTTTGATGATCAAGCAGGGATAGCCGATAGCGATAGCCGGGAGATAGCCTTACCCTCGTCGTGTCCGTTGGCGTATCAGGTTGCTTGTTAAAGTTACTTATAGCACTTCCAACACCCTGCTCGCGACCAGTGTTGATCGGTCCCTTGCGTTCGGGCTTCTTCGGCTCTACAGATTCAGTTGCGTTGTTCTAAAAAATACATTTCAAATCTCAAAAGTTAACAACCCTGTCCAAGAAGAACCTACCACTCGCTTAGAAGCCTCGTCCCGGTCCTTCTTGTCCTTCTCCAGACGCAACCGCTTCTGCTCTTCGGCCTTCTTCCGGGTTTCCTCCTCCGCTGCGAGGGCAAAATTCTCGAACCTGGCCCGGATGTTCGACGGCTTCGCCGAGCCAATGTCCGGCTTGACTTTGGTGTAGTTGGTGCCAATCTTGTCCTGCTCCTGGAATCCGAGCGCCGATTTGTCCATCCGATCGCTTTGCACTCCAAATTTGCCTCCGAAGCCCTGCAAATGGAAAACAAATTTGTCACCATCTCACCTCACTCGAAAATATTTCCATGAAGAAAAATTGCAGTCTTGGAAAACCATCACCCTAAGCACCGAAATGATACCAAAAACCGAACTCCAGTCCCAAACTTGAACAATAAGTTTTTCCAGTTACTCACAATCTTGTGATCGACCTGGCTCTCGTGCATCTCCGGTTTCTCGATATGGTCCCAGCCGAGAGCAGACTTGTCTTTCCGATCAGTCTGAACGCCGAACTTGCCTCCAAAGCCCTTGAATCAATTTCGAATGCCATTTTATCTCCAATCCTGGAAACAACCCCCCAACACAGTTCTAACCCCCCAAAAACGCAACTTACCACTTTATGATCCAGCTGACTCTCGTGCTTCTGAGGTGCTTCCATGTGATCCCAACCGACGGCGGACTTGTCCTGCCGATCGGCTTCTACCCCGAACTTTCCGCCGAATCCTTTGCTGTAATCCTTCTGCGACTCGTGCTTGTCCACCTTTTCCATGTGATCCCACCCGACAGCCGACTTGTCCACCCGATCCGTTTGCACACCAAACTTTCCCCCGAATCCTGTGGCGTAATCCTTCTGGGAGCTGTGCTTTTCTACCTTCTCCTTGTGTTCCCACGTACCAGCACACTTATCCACCCGATCGGACTGCACTCCAAACTTACCCCCGAACCCGGTCGAATAATCCTTCTGCGATGCATGCTTCTCCACCTTACCAACGTAGTCATGACCCAGTGCCGACTTGTCCATTCGATCCTTCTCCACGCCAAACTTTCCGCCATACCCATGGGAAGACTTCGGACCATCCTTCTGTTTCTTCTCCTTGTCCGCCCTCTCGGTCTCCTCCCGCAGCTGTTGCATATCAATTGCAGCGGCACTCCGGCCCGATCCTTCGACCGTCTTTGAGCCCCATCGCTGCTCCTGCTCGGTGACATCGTTCAAAAAGTCCGGATCCGTCTCCCAATCATCGTCTGCTTCCGGGGCGACACTCACATCGATATCACGACCTGCCGTGGATTTCCACATTCTTAGCCCGTTATCTTCGGCGAAATAAAAATAATATTTTATCAGCAATGGGAGTGGTTGGAACTCTCGCTTATCAGTGCGGCTGCTGACTCACCAAATCTTTTACGGAACAGTTAGACGACAAAACACACAAACTTTCGATTCACGAAATGCTAAAACACAAACAATTTTGAAATGCACTATATTCTACACTTTATCTTCCTGTCGTTAGGAATGGATTCCTCTAGTCAAAACATTCCCAAATCGGATGAAATCCTGTCTTTTTTCTATGGACAGAGCAGAAAAACAAATTCGGCTTTCGATCACTCTGCGGAAAACAGTTTAAGGGAGTGACGTTTGTGGGACAACAGAAGAGAGACGCGAACCGAAAACTTCATTTTTAGACCGGTTTATATGAAGTTTGCTGTATGAAGATGTGAACAGTGCCGCTAGGTGCATTAGGAGAACCGTGCTGTACTGAGTGCCAGCAACCGGTGGAAATGAACGACTATTGGTCCCAAGCAAATCGATTAACGTTCCCCATTCTAGTCGAAATTCTAGTACTACACAATGTTTGTTTTGATTCGTTATGAAAGTTTAACAGATAAAATGAGGGGTTAGTGGATTTTCCTATGTTTCGAGGGGTGAATCGATTAGCTTGGGACCGAAGATAGTAACAGCAACAATCAATACGAAACTAACGATTTTAAATTAGCTCACTACTTGACTAGCCTATTGGTCCCAAGCAAACGATTAACGTATGTTTGTTTTGATTCGCTATGAAAGTTTGACAGATAAAATGAGGGGTTATTGGTTTTTCCTATGTTTTGAGGGGTGAATCGATTAGCTTAGGACCGAAGAGAGTACCAGCAACAATCAATACGAAACTAACGATTTTAAATTGGCTCACCACTTTAGTAGCCTATTGGTCCCAAGCAAACGATTAACGTACCCTATTCTAGTTGAAATTCTATTACTACACTATGTTTGTTTTGATTCGCTATGAAAGTTTGACAGATAACATCAGGGGTGTGTGGATTCATGCAGAACATGCAGGGGTGAGTGAAATAGCTTGGGACTGCTTGGGACCGTTGTTCTGGTACTGAGTGAGCCAAAAATAATAATGATTTTCTTCGGGACCCAGTGGTCTTAGAGTTACCTCTATGGTACCAGAGCTGAGCCAAAAAGTTGAACACGTTACTTCGGGACTTTCTAGTCTTAGAGTTACCTCTATGGTACCAGAGCTGAGCCAAAAAGTTGAGCACGTTTCTTCGGGACCTTCTGGTCTTAGGGTTACCTCTACCGACTAGAATAGTGTAAGGTAATCGTTTGCTTGGGACCAATAGGCTACTAAAGTGGTGAGCCAATTTAAAATCATTAGTTTCGTATTGATTGTTGACAATACTGTAGACAGAATTTCCTGTGAGATGATCCCAGCTCAGCTGTGTGAAAATCCGCCGATATTAGCTATTGGCAAATCAGCCACGGCGCAGCTAATTGACCTTTCACCAACTGACAGGAAATGTGTAAGAAAAGTCATGACCTACCTGTCGTGACCGGACCGAGGTTTCCAGCCTCGGTCACGGCTACACGAATCTCGGTTGCTACGCCTCCACTGCTGCTACCGCTGCTACCGCTGCTACTACTGCTGCTGCTACTGCTGCTTCTGCTGCTGCTGATGCTTGTCCGTCACCTTCAACGTTCGTCACAAGAATGCCTTCTGCAAGCTTAGGTAGCCCATATTTATACCGAAGGAATATCCCATATTTTACCTAGTCTTTCACACAGCGCTGCTAGCTGTTTTGGTTTCTCCTCACAAAGCAACGATAGTGAGATTTTGTTCACATGAACGATAAATTGGTTTTCCTCAATTTAAGCGTTTCGTTACATGACTCAACTTATATGTTTTAATCATTATCATCCTTACCAACTCTTCTTCCACACTACCTAGTTATTATCCATCTCATATCTTCCCTCTCCTTTCGTATAAAAGTTATAAAAAGTATTTTTAAACAATAATTAATGCTAATGAATTACTGAATCTTGATCCACCGCTGTTACCTCAATCCCAGGTCCCGCAGCATAGCCTTCACCTGGTGCTTGATGATCGGTATGCCATCCGCCGAGTGCAGCAACTCGCGTCCTGTAATGATGAATATAGGGATCAAGAGGGATAGCAAGAAACATATGATTGAATTCGAGAAGCTCGTAAAGAAAGATGAGAGGGTTACTGAGAAAAACTCGGAAAAATCATAACGGGATTAAAAAGGGTTTTGAAATAACTGAATAATAAGAGGGAGAGAAGTAGAGAGAGTGAGAAGTCGACAAAGGAGTAATAGAGGGAGAGGAAGGTGGGATGAGAACGATTGTATAACAGGAGAGAAACAGAGAAATAAAAATAAAAGACAGTCTTGTGATTGGCTTTAGTGATCAATGATCAATGAGTTGTTGTTTACTTCAGAGATGAGAAATATCCGAACACTACAATGGCTTTAAACTGCTGCGTCCGGTGGGTCAGCTTTCTGGCGTGCTAGGAAAATCTCTAAACCCTGCAGCGCTTCCTCCGAGTGTAGATAGTGCAAATCCAACACGTTTACATTGTTCAGCGTCAGCTTGTGCACCTCCATGATGGCATTCGAGGCCTTACTGCTGTACATATCGATTTTCGTTTTTCAATTCCTGATGGTCCTGGGACATATTGCGGCATTCTTCGGCCGTTTTCAGGTGAAGATTGATGTCGTCTTCGCTGGATGACGGTACCTGCTCGACCGTTGGAGGCGGCGACGTTGAGGACGAGGGAAGTGTTTTTTGTTTTTCGGCTTCTGCTCGCTTCATAAGGGCTTCCCGTTCGCGGGCGATTTGGTTTCTCAGCTCTTCCGGAATGGATTTGTTTAGGACGGTTATAGCATAGAGGTAACTCTAAGACTAGAAGGTCCCGAAGAAAATCATTATTATTTTTGGCTCACTCAGTACCAGAACAACGGTCCCAAGCAGTCCCAAGCTATTTCACTCACCCCTGCATGTTCTGCATGAATCCACACACCCCTGATGTTATCTGTCAAACTTTCATAGCGAATCAAAACAAACATAGTGTAGTAATAGAATTTCAACTAGAATAGGGTACGTTAATCGTTTGCTTGGGACCAATAGGCTACTAAAGTGGTGAGCCAATTTAAAATCGTTAGTTTCGTATTGATTGTTGGTTATAGTGTCGCTGAATTTGTGGGCATGTAGGATTTCTGCCAGGACTTTCTCGTCAAAGATAGGATACATTTCGGCTAGCTTTTGACGAGTCATATGCGAGGCCAGATCTTGCGTAGCTTGCTTAGCCCAGCCGTTGATTCCGCTTCGGTACGTCGTTAGGGCGTACTCCATTTCCATAATGTCGTTCAGTTTGGGGGAATCCTCGATGGTCTTTCCATTTGCTGTGCCAATCGAGCATCTTTTTTTCATAAAATCTTGTTTTTCCCCTGCAGCTGTACATGGAATCCTAGAACGACAAAAACAACTGTTCTGCCATTTCGGTAGTCATGAAAACCTTTGTTCGTTCATTGGTTAGTTCGTCTAAGGAGATGGCACCCGAGCCATGCTTATCCTTGAAAGTGGCGTGTAGCTGGCTTATGAGATTAATTCCCAACGTCACTTCCAGCACTTCGGCATCGTTTTGCAAATCTTCCGCTTTGTCTTTTCTTTTCGTTGTGTTCCGGAGTGATTTCGAGCTGACGGTAGACCGATCGATTTTGTAACCCCCTCCACCACCACCACTACCGGAGGGATGACCGGAAAGCACTTGCGATACCATTGTTTCATTGCAATCACATTCAAACGCCAGTAGGCCGCCAACCGCACCGGCTTCCAAATTATCCGCTGTCTCGAATTCGTATGTCTTTTGCTCTTCTAGCAACAGATTTGCTGTCCAATCATCGTGCCCATTGCAGTTCTCGACCAAATCCCACAGATACTGGACCGGAATCTGGGGATAGAGGATGCAAAATACCGAAAAGCTAGTGTTTTCATTTTTGCATCCTCGTCTGTGTCTGACCAGAGCAATCCGTTTCTTTTCCGATTTCTTCTTTTTGCTGGGCTTGATCGGCGTCACACCTGTGAAAATTCGTCCTCACTCGTTTTCTCAGAACGGCCGTCCCTGTCGCGTTCTCTTTTGTGGCTTTGCCACGGCGAGTAGACGATTTTTGCAAATCCGTCCTCACTCGTATTCAGAACGGCCGTTCCGGTCGCGTTCTTATCCTGTGGCCGTGCCACCACGAGGAGACGATTTTTCGCAAATCCGTCCTCACTCGTTATCTCAGAACGGCCACCACGGTCGCGTTCAAATTTCCAATTTTCCTTGCAAGTGGATGATTTGCCCTTTATTACCTACCAGGATGCCGGTTGGCTCACTACTTGACTAGCCTATTGGTCCCAAGCAAAACGACTAACGTACCCCATTCTAGTATAAATTCCAGTACCACACTATGTTTGTTTTGATTCGCTATGAAAGTTTGACAGATAAAATGAGGGATAGGTTGATTTTCCTATGTTTCGAGGGGTGAATCGATTAGCTTGGGACCGTAGATAGTACCAGAGCTGAGCCAAAAAGTTGAGCTCGTTTCTTCGGGACCTTCTAGTCTTAGAGTTACCAACAATCAATTCGAAACTAACGATTTTAAATTGGCTCACTACTTGACTAGCCTATTGGTCCCAAGCAAATCGATTTACCTATCCCATTCTTGTATAAATTCCAGTACTACTCTATGTTTGTTTTGATTCGCTATGAAAATTTGACAGGTAAAATGAAGGGTTCGTGGATTTTCCAATATTTCGAGGGGAGCATCGATTAGCTTGGGACCGAAGATAGTACCAGAGCTGAGCCAAAAAGTTGAGTTCGTTTCTTCGGGACCTTCTGGTCTTAGAGTTACCTCTATGGAGTTACCTCTATGACAGTAGGTAGTATGTCCCGGGCTCAAATCGTTTATTTTGCTGTTTTGAGCCCGCTGTCACGGTAAAACATGTTGCCTACGCGCCTGCCACTGGGCTGGAAAACCCCTAAAATCTCGATATAGGTCCGAATTACGGAGATAAAAGAATTTTACACGCTCAAATGTTGCTTTTGGGCATGCATTTCCACGATGAAGATGTGAACGGTGCCCGCTCGCCTGACTACACTGGCTACACTACTGATTCCCTCACCACTGAAATTATACAACTTTTTGACAGTCATTTTTTTTTTCTTCATTATCGCCTGACTTGTCGGATTTACTTCACTCGTTCTGTGATTAGTGCTGCGGAGAAAATGTTCGGAAAATTCTTTTTCGTTCCGTTGCTAGCGATAATCTCGCTCATCGGCGCGACCGCGGCCGATTCCGCCATCGACGACTTCGACGAATCCGGTCGCTACACCATCGAGGGCAAGGTATACCCGCCGGAGCTGTTCGGTGGCTCGGATCTTACCTGGCAGATCGATACGCACATCTCGATCAACGCGGGTGAGTACAAGGGATTCCTCAAGGATGACGGGTCGTTTGTCATTAGCTCGGTCCCGTCCGGGAGCTACGTGGTGGAAATCCTGAACCCAGACTACTACTACGAATCCGTGCGGGTGGAAATAAATCCGAAGGGTAAATTCCGCGCCCGGAAGCTCAACTACGTCCAGCCGTCGCAAGTGGTCCAGGTGCCATATCCGTTGAAGTTGAAGGCCCTGACGCGCTTCCGCTACTTCCAGCAGCGCGAACAGTGGAAGATTACCGATTTCCTGTTCAACCCCATGGTGCTGATGATGATCCTACCGTTGTTCATTATGCTCATCCTGCCGAAGATGATGAGTGATCCGGAGACGAAGAAGGAGATGGAGAATCTTAATCTGTCTAAGGTAAAAAAAAATGAGCTTTTTGTGGTTTGTTCGTTGGACGTGATGGTATGCACATTTTCGATTTCCGCAGATGACGAACGACATGCCGGAGATAAGCGAGATGATCACCTCCTTCTTCACGGGTGGAGCACCGGCAGCTGCGGGGGCTGTCAAGGACAAGGAAAAGTCCAAATCGGCAGCCAGCAAGCAGAGCAAGAAGAAGAACTAGATTCATTCCAACCGTTGGTGGAGTGGGATGATCTCGTGATCAGTGTTGTAGGAAAATATTACGGTAGGTTGATACTTTTAGGGAAGCGATCCAATTTGTAAATCTATTTATTAGTGCGACAAGCGGAAATGCCCGTGCGTGTGTGTGGTTGATGAATAAATTGGGGAATTACCAACATCCACATATCCACAGAGCTGCGACGCGTGCGCTGGTGATTTGTGAAAGAACTTCCTGTCCGTGGTTCAGTTTTGTTGGAGATTCAAATTGGAGACCTCAAGAAAATGTCGTTTGGGTTGCCAGGAGGACTCATGCTCATGAATCACAACACACCCACGTAATCTAACTGCATCATCTGATGGAACAAACTACCTTTACCTTCAAATAATGCTGTTTGTTTTCCTGAATAGGTTTCTTTCATCATCTTGTTAACGTTCTCCTTGTTTGTCCTACGTATCGTTGTAACAATGATTATAGCACTTAAGACATTAACTGGGTCTTTAGTGGAACCTAACAATGATTTTAACTGTTTGTCTACTCATGAGAACTAAATCTAATCCGATGTTTTCCCCCGTGGTCTCAGCTTACTAGCAATATTTTGATCAAATGGAATGGACACTTGTTTCAGGGATTCCGATGCTGCGGTGAGAATTGTAAACATTCACCTTTGTAAAATTTTCGCTTGTTACCGATGATTGCCTGGATTTTTCTCACTCCAATTGGTCTGGGTTCAATCCCAGCCGAGGTCAGTGCCATTCTTCGTAATTCTCTGCATCCCACTTTGGGAATCCTCTTCATGAAACTCTTAAAATTTGCTATACAATTATCTTTGTACATATTCGGAAAAATTCCCGAGCGAATTCGCTTACATTTACGCACGGAATATTCCTAAGATTTCTCTTCCCAATTAAAAGGGCGAGTGTCAGTAGAGCACTTTGTCGGTCCCTGGACTATTTTGTGGGATTCTTAATTCCACTATCAAAACGGAATTTAATAATTGGGAAGTGTCATCGACAATCCAAACGTTACATAATACAAACTTCATAAATGACTTAGCATATTTTTGACTAAACTTAGACACCTTCCCCTCCCGCCCCAGGGGCTCCTGGCAAGCACCTTAAAGCAAATATCGTCTTTTCCGGCAAAATATTTATTGTCTTAAATCTATTAGTTCTGACTTTAATCATTTATCACAAACCTTTACAAAAGGTATATACAGAGCATAATACTTAACATTCCATGAATGTATAGAAATCGTCCTCGCCAGCCGTATGGCTACTGTCCAGGTGATCGGCCGGGAAGCAATCGGTCGTGAAATCCCCGGACGCCTCCTCCAGTAGATTTTCCGTCACAAATGGATGCTCGGTCACCACCGGTTGCACGGCGGCCACCGATGGCGTCAGTTCCGGTTGCTGATGGGGTGGAATATCGGCCAACATAACGGACAGATCATCGTGCTGTTCCTCCTCAATCAACCCGACGACGGCTGGATCCGGCAGTGGAAGAAGCGGAGTTAGGAGAGGTTCAGATGGCGCCAACAACGATTCCGGTATCCCTTCCTCCAGCGTTTGATGATGGTGAAGATGATCCTCTACTGCGACGATGATGGACTGAGTATCCTCATCGTCTTCCTGCTCCTCCGGTAGGAGCGGATGCGCTTTGGCGTAGTGCTTCTTCAGGTCCCACAAGAAGCGGAATTTACTCTGGCAGAGCTTGCACCCATGGGGATATTCGGCCGTGTGAACCATCATGTGCGATCGCAGCTGGTAAGGATGAGCGAACCGCATCGGACACATTGTGCACTGGTGCTTCCGGAAGTTCTGGTCGTGCGATCGCGTGTGCTTGTATAAAATTGCCTTGGTAAAAAATGCCTTACCACAAATCTGGCAACTGTACCGCCGGACGTTGGCGTGGCAATTCAGATGATCCTTCAGACGGTACTGTAATCAAAATCATCGTAAAGTTAAAAGTTTCTCATATCAACTCCCTGCCGATTACTCACCAGTTTGTGGAACTTTTTATTACAAATCTGGCACTCGATTCGCTTCTCTTGTCCGTGGAACACCAGGTGAGACCGCAGCGAACTCATGCTGGTAAACGATTTCCCACAGACGTGACAAACGGCCAACTTTGGCGACGGATTGGAATTCTTAACCTTCTTCTCCTCCGGTTCAGGACCGCTTTTACTGTGCTTATGTACATGAACCCTCAGTCCCATCAGGGTCGGCAGCGACTGTCCGCAAATGTCACACGTAAAGGGACCCACACGTTTGGAGTTCTTATTGCCGACCATCTCACAAGTCTGTCGGTGCTTCTTCAACTTGGTACAACTCTCGAACGTGTGCTCACAATCCAGGCAAACCCACTGTAGCTTTCCGTTGACCACCCGTCGGCGAGAGTCGCTCGTTGTCTTCAGCTTTCCTCTAGACTGAACCGCTTGCTCCACTCGTTTCGGTTCTTTCGGAGGTTTCACAACCACTTCCTTAACAGGAAGTTCCTCTTCCTCCTCCTCCTCCTCCTCAACCTCACAGTAATCATCCTCCAGCGGCATATCGTCATCATCCACCGGAGGTGGTGGTGGACTAAACCCACCGTACTGGTCCTCCGGTTTGCTAAAGTCCAAATTCAGGAAATCCGGAATCACACTCCTCTCCGCCAGCAGGCAGCTGATCTTCTTCTGTCCGTCCTCGCATCTGCAGCGGAATTCGCGGATCCGCCCGAGAAATTCGGCACAGGCGGAGCAGATTTTGGTGCAACCGGCACTGGCATCGATTCCGCTAATGGCCAATTCGTTAATCAGATCCAAATGCAAATCGGATAGGTCGAGCAGCAGCGGTTCCTCTCGGGCACAGAGCCGGCAGATGTGCAACAGCAGGGATTCTTTGCCACTTTCGCGCTTCTGGATCAGCTCGTCCACGGCCGATTCGATGATGTTGGTGATGAGGTTGTTGTACTCGGTGATGTTCAAGGGCTGCAGTGGCATAATTTGGTTGCGATTGATGTTGGTGAAATTCATCCATTTTTTCGATGGAGTTCGAAATGTATATGGAAGATACATATCAAACGAGCATGAATAGGATGTAGGTGATTGAATGCATGCAGCAATAATTACCTGGTGAAGATTGTCCATGTTTGCTAACTTTTCGGAATAAACGGCATTTATAGGGCAATATGAGTTGGAAAGCGATGAATTTCAACAAACTTAAATTTTATTTTGTTTACGAAGCGAATGGAATGGAAGTTGAAGCAAAAATACTGACAAGGATTGCACGCTCAATAGAAAACCCATATTAAAGAGTAAATTTTTAACAACAGCTCATATTTAGAGCATCGCCACGGGTGTCACTTTGCCATCTTGTGTTAAACACACTTCAAACACCCTTCCACCACATGAAAAACTAATGTTTTCATTAATTCTGGCACGACTGCCAATAATGTTTAATTTTCATTGGGATTCGGTTACCGGAACGGGACTCGAAAGAAAAACGGGAGAACTATACTAGCGCTAAACTAAATTAGAGCTTTATTGAAACACGTCTTGTTCCATACTGAATAGCCATAATAAGCCATTCCATTAAGGATAGCAAATTTTTCCGTGGTGGAGGAAACCTCCTCCACCACGAATTAGCCAAACATTGGTTTTCATCCTTTACCCATGTTCGTAACAGCTCTGATAGCGATGCATATGCTTCTGTGGTGAGTAGTATTATATTTAGATTTTACCAATTTCTTAGATGGTTGAAATACAGATCATTTAAACAAAAAAAGAAAAGAAAAAGGAGCATTCCCCATTTCATATATTATACATTCAAGCATTATCTTAGACACATTACGGTGAAACATTTTGTGCAGTTAATAGAGTACATTTTCAAATATTCCTTGAGAGAAATCGAGAGAGAATTAATAAAGCAACTCCTCGGGTACACCTGCCATAACGTCCGTTATCGTTCACTATCTTTTGGATATAGTGAACGATAACGGACGTTATGGCAGGTGTACCCGAGGAGTCGGAATTGGGTGAGAGCAATGGCGGCTGGTCACGACAGCTTCCACCTCGTTTGTCAGCTCAGATCGGCAAATGACATTCGATAGAATTATTTACATTCCACATCGAACGCTCGACTGTTTCGGTCAAGTATTGCTTGCACTCCGTAATCGGTAACTAGTTTTTTTTCCCCTATTGAGGTTTTTTTTTCTATCCGCTTTCATACTGAGTGGTGTTGTAGTATACAACAGTGTAGTGAGCATCACAGTCCGCATCGTGCTCTCTTGCCGTGCGGATCTATTTGCTTTTTGCTGAAGGAAGTGTTACTACCTAGGGGCAAGACAGCTGTACTCAGAGTAAATATATTTGCAGCGAGTAAATTTGAGTTACTCACATTTACTCAAAAATGATCAAAGTAGTCTCGATTTTCTGATCGAAGAAAATATCGTATGACAGCATATTAGGTTTTCAATATAAACACAGTTTTCAAGCATTAAAAGATTCAAGGCAGACCAAGGATCGATTGGTTAAAGTGTTGTCGTTGATGATTTTTGATGATGTGGTGGTGTTATTTCAGGACTATACATGTTGGTACTCCACCAGAGATTTGAGAAGTTTCTGCCCTGTGAACATAAAAAGCTTATCTTGCCCAGCCTGTAAAAGATCCCTATCATCTTTTTGAACTAATTTCAGACATGAGGAAATCCAACATAAATATTGAGGTATATCGTGAAAAGTACAACTAGGTTCTAAAGTTATAACGTTTAACTATTGGTTCGTACCGGCAGGTTCAGTAGCAATAAACTCCTCGAGCTGGGTCTAAAGGATTACTTATTACTTGGTAGTCCAAAGGACTTCGTGAACAAGATGTGCAGTGTACGGTCACCTGACTAGAGATCATTGCAAAGTATGAACTGAAAGATAAGATATGGATTGGCGGGGAAACTACTGTTTGTTTTTGTTGGGCTTTTCTTCGGTATGTACCACTGCTACCTTATTGCTGATGCCGACGATCTGGCGACGTACTTCAATTACTCGCTGCTACTGCTACCGCTGCTGTCGACGAACGGTGACTGGTGTTTTCCGAACCGATGGGGAATGGTGGTTTGACTGCACGCCGGTTTGACGGGGCTTGTCATTCGTGTGTAGCTTGGAAGCCTTCCAGGCGTCTTCCCTCGTTGGCGAGGATTGACACGGTTTAGGACGATTGCGGAGTGACCGTGCCAAAAGGGGAATGCTCCTTTTCGGTTAGGGGTAACCTCTCCTAGTTTCAAACCTCCTTCGTGGTCAGTCGGACCAGAGGTTGGTATTGGTCCTTGACTGTTCGGTGAAGTGAAGCTTGATCTGAGGTCCTGACCAGTCCAAAATGGAGGTACCTGGTGTATAACACACGAACGCCTGATACATGTAACCTTTCTGTTACAAACCTTCAATTCGATGTTTTCTTTATTGTAGCAGGTGATCGAACCTTCAGGTAAATTTAAACTATAGCGATGAAACCCACTGGGAAGATGACACGGCCATGCTTAACGGCCGATTGTTGAATAAGGCGTCCATGACCACAACAAAATGGCGACACGGAGTCACAGGGTGATGGGGTGAAGGGTCCTGCAATGCTCACCGAACGGTCATCGTTCACTTTTAAACAGTACTCACTCGCCAGAAGTGATTAGCTAGTGGAGTTAAATTAATACCTAAGGAATCTAGTGCAAGTAGTGAATCGTAGTGACCTGTTGAACACCGATTTCACCGATTCAGTACCTTTTCCGTACATTTTTCAAATCACTTACTGGTTGGCGAGTACGGATATCTAATTGCCTAGGACCATTAAAGGAGGTCTTGATGGGGCCTCACTCACGACTCTGAAATGAGCCGAGCGTAGCATTTTTCTGAGGAGTAGCATTCCTACTCTCAAATCATAGCATCGAGCCTCACAACTTGTGCGGGAAGAGGGATAAAATGGGAGTGAGGTTTGCTGCCACTCATTTTCATGTTTTATATCACACGTTCTTGTTTGGGTGAACTCTGAAGCTTCTTGCCTTGAACAAAAAAGTCAACATGAGCCTTGAAAAGTGAGTTTGAGAAATTTCAACAAGCCTGGACACCGCTCTCGAGCACACGACCCTAATAGCTAAGAAGAGATTCCCTTCCCGGTTTGACAGAGTGCGACCTTGCCGTCGTCGACTGGCTTCGTCTGAAGGAGTAAAATCGGAGCTGTGCATCGGGACCAGCTCGACAATCCGTCATACCAGCCCATTACCAAAACACCAGATCACTAAACCAAACCACCATCGGACGACAGCCAACGAACGGTAGACGCGCTAGTCAGACCGCCATTCGCTGGAAGACCAGTCAGCCTTTCATCGTCTACTATCGCCAGAATCGTTCTGAAATTTCAGTGAGCGCTCACTGGACTGCATTTGTCGTAGTTGTCGTAAAAGTACGTGCCAGAGTATCCAACACACCACAGTTCTCACTCCTAAGTGTATTGAGGAATGAGTGGTTAAGTTGATCCGCTCCGGGTTTTATTTAATTTGAAAGCTTGAGTACGCGAAGGCCCTCCAGTTTTCCCGGTAGTGCACCTACTCTGAGACACAGTTCACAGAGTTTCATGCTGCTGAGTCGTTGTCGGGCAGAACATTAGTTTCATATAGAGTCGATGTATAATGAGTCACGCCGAGAGAAAAACAGTTGAACTCGCATCACGGTTTTCGAAAGATTCCCTTTCTTTTCACTTGGCAACAGAGGACTTCTACATCAACTTCAAATGACTTCTAGCGAGAAAAAAAAATTGCGGCTGTAGTAAATCATTATATCAGTGATTTAGTCAAATTATCTCAACCAAAAATAGTAGAAATTCTCATAAGTGATCATTACCAAACGTATCCCATGCAAATTTATTGCTCACTGCGAGTTTATGATAATTTCTTCGATTATATTTTATATTTTATTGCAATACCTTTCGTGGACCTTTCATAGCATCGTAATGTTTGTTTTCTTTGCATGATAGGTAGCCGGTTTGACAGTTCAATAGGTAGACTTGGCTTCACTCTTGGCGTGACTCATTATACACCGACTCTAGTTTCATACAGTATGAGGCAATGGTGGCTAATCTAGGTTTTTCAGGGCGCCGTTCCTCTTCTCCTCATCCCACTTCATGGATTTTAGATTCTACCACCAAGGATATAGTCCTTTTTCCATATCAACTGTTAGGCCGACAACATACACTGAACCAATCTGACATATTCCTGTTATGTGGAAGTCTAATAAATTTGCGCTATAAGATAATCCATTGAAAATTATATGATTGAAAATGTGTCAGGTAAATTCTATATGAATATCTGATACATTTACAATGCTGATAATTTGTTAACTTTTATATGATCGTCATATGATAAATGAAAATCGGTCAAATTATAATAAATAACTGAAATGGATTTGAAACCCATAAGCATAAGCTTTACTTTTCACCACAATATAATATATGTGTCATAAATCAATCGAAGTAAATTTTATGTGAAAATCACATGAAATTTATTTCTTCTTTTGACACGTATATTTAATCGATTTCTAAAAATAAATCTAAAAATAAACATCAGGCAGTGGAAGCTTTCACAGTTGTATCTTTTTTTATTGTAACTGATTTGGGATTCGATCCAGAACTGTTGAGGTGTGATGCTTTCGGTGTTTGCGCTCGATTCCACTGGGCCAATGCTGACTACAATATTAAGCTCGTTCAATTAGCATGAAGTAAGAACAGCTCTCCCAACATGGAATGTGCAACGTTATGCTCGTTTTACTAGAGTGAAGAAAAATAACACTGACTAATTTATGCTCCGTTTCGGTGGTGTCGTGTATTCAAATCTTTCATAATGCTGCTGTGTGCAATAAAACAACGACTACATTATATGAGTTCATGAAACTGGTTCATGAAGTTCGAGTACTAGTGCTGGAATCTGAATAAGCCCTTCTACACGCTTACAATTAGAATGTTAATATAGTAAATATTGCAGTAGAATCATTTTTTTTTTCAATCTCAATACATTCTTTCCGGAATCCCTTGTCTTATGGAACAATAACAAACAAGGATTATTCAATACAGTATCATTGTTATTAGTTATATTTAGTTCGGCTAATCATTTTAATGAGTGTACGATAACATCGTTGAAAATTGTTTCAATAATTTATAAAGAACAATCATATAAGATGTTTTTTATTGGGAGCGATATTCATCCCGGAA